TCTCCCTCTGTCTGTCTGTCTCTCTCGGTGGGGGCAGTGGGTTGAGAAGCTTCCTCTGGGGGATTTTTGGGGTGTGTGGCGGGCTATCTCTCGGAGGGGCTTTGGAGGGGAGGGGGTTACTTTTTGGGAGTGTTTTTTGCCTTTTCTGGGAAGTCAATGGAAGGGGGAGGTGGGGGGGGCAACTTGGAGGTGTCTTTAGTGATTTGTTGGAAATATTTTCAAAATCTATGCATACGTGTGCCCGCACGTGCACACACATATGCCTATGTATATGCAAACATTTAACATCTATTTATATCTATATCTGTTGATCGATCATTGATCGATTGATCGAGCGATAGATACACGCAAATGCACACACACACATATGCTGTAATTACATAGTTCTCAGGATTTTTATTTTTAGTATCTTCCGGCAATGAATAAGTGAATCCCTGGCTCCCAAGACCTCAGGGGCGCCAGAGGGCCTCCTCACTTGTGACTTGTCTCTCTACCCTGGGAAGTCAATTGCCTCTGCTGATCTTCCTCGGACACAGTTCGAGGGGGTTCTTCATTTGAGGGAGCCCGAGGCCTCCCTTTTCAGACAGGAAAGCGCGGGGACTTGGGCGGGGGGGTTGGTTGGTTGCAATGAGGTGAGGTGCTGCAGGATGTGGGGGGGGAACCACCCTCCACTCTGGGGGATGGAAGAAAGGAGGGTCAAGTTTGCCCCTGGTGGAAGGGGGAGTGTGGCCTTTGAGGGAGATCATTTGTGGAGCTTCTTGGCCACTGGCACTGGGTCCCCGTCTTGGGTCTCCGGAGCTCACAGGGGACAAGACTCTTCAGGAAGGGGCTTGGCAGGCTTGCCAAATCAAGAGACAAAAACCAGCATTTCCGTCAATGGGTTTACGGGCAGCAGGAGGGCAGTTCTGCGTGGGAGTAAGGAGAGGTGGGAGCCCTGAGAGGATTGGGGCAAGGGATTCCCAAGAAGTCCCTGTTTTACTGTGAAGGCAGAAGAAGGGGTTGGGATTAGGGGAGAGGAACACATGCAGGGACAGAGGAAATATTTGAGGAGGGGCTGCCTGGCGGCTTCATGGGATGTAACTGAAAGCACTGGGGTGGCTGTTCACGGAGGAGGGTCCGGAGGCAGATATTTGATGGACAGCTGTCTCCTGTGACACCCCTAGTCTTCCAAAGCAGCACTCTGGTCTCTCTTGCTAATCATGGTCCTGTATAAAGGGGCCTGCCAGGGAGTGAAGGAAAAGGAGGGATTGATTCCCACAGTCTGAGTCCAGGTCAAAAGTTTCGAGTCCCGAGTCATGCCTCTCGGATAAGTTGGCAGCCGACTTCTGCCACCTACATATTTGAGGACCCCCTTCTTTGGGCTTCACCTGCCCTTTTACGGGTTGCTTTGGCCGTGAAGGCTCTAACCCAGAGAAGGGTGATGAACGGAGCTGTGGGAAGCCCTGGGTTTTGGAGACAGGATGGCGAGGCCAAAGAATGTTTAATGCGACAGTGAGGAGGAAGCTTCGCTCTTTAGGACTTTTAATGCCAGAGGGATCTGGGTTGGTTGGTTTGTCCCCACCCCACATGACATTTCTGGTTGGCCTCGGGGCCCCAGAAACCTGCCCCACCCCTCTTGCTAGCTCTTTACTCCCTCCCTGCTGTGATGGCTGTGGGCTAGTGCTCTGCCTCTCCCGGCCTAAGGCTAGGGTTCCTGCCTGCTCTGTCTCTGTTACTGACAAAATAGCAGCGGGATTTTGCCGTCTGAGTGTGTGTGTGTGTGTGAGAGAGAGAGAGAGAGAGAGAAACCTCCTGGCCCTCACTTGGGCCAGAATGCTTGCTGAGTGGTGCCAAAACATGCTGGCGGAGTTGCATGTCTCAGGATTACATCATGAGGCCACTGTGCTCTGTGAAGCCAAGGAACGCTCACACCCATGTGGTTGGGCAGCAGTGGTATTTTCCTTGTTTTTGCTGCTAATTCCCCCCCCCCCCACAGGTGGCTTTTTCTCCTTCTTGTCCCCTCCTGGCCCGACCATCAGGATAAAGAGAGCGGAGAAACCAGTGCCCCGAGTTCTATAAAACAGCTAAAATGTTGGGTTTTCTTGTTTTGTTTCTTGTTTCTCTGGGGTGGGGAATAAAGAAGACAAAAACTTCATGGCAGCTTAAAGACTAACGGCTGTATTTTAATGTGAGCTTCAGGCACGGCTGTTTGAAAAGCTGCTTCTGGCAGGCTGGTTGGCAGTAACGGCCCTAAAAGGACAACCACCATGTTGGAGATATTCCCATGAACTGGGTGGAGCTGGGTTCAGATCTGTGTCCCTGTGCCATATAAAATGGAATAGCTCAATAGTTTAGGCCTCTGGCTTCAGAGCCAGAGATTGGGAGTTTGATTCTCGCAGTCCTGCTGCAAGTTTAAAAGGGAGATCGTTCCATCTTGATGAGGTGATGAGGTGTGAAATAAATAGCCTGCCCGTTTGCCCTTGTTTATATGGAATGTTGAGCCGGGATCTGCAGGGCAGCTCAGAGTGCTCTCCTGCACCCCTTAAAAATACATTAAAAATTTCCTCCATGCTTTAGGACTTTCCTCCTCTTTCTCGCTTCTGCTTTCAGTTTAAGCCGCCTTGGGTCCTGAGGAGACAGACGGTGTAAAAAAAAAATTTTTTTTTATAGGCAGAGGCGAGCGGGTTGTCTGCAGCTCAGACAAGCAGCTCTGCCTCCTCAGATTTGAAATCGCCCCCGTCCTGATCTTAACTCTTAGAGTCACACAGGCCTGTTTTTCCCTCCATGAGCAAGAGAGAAACCCTTTCGCCCTCCCTGTCCCGGCCGTGCTTGGCTGCAGATGTTTTCGAGAACTTCCTCTCTGTTCTGAATTGAGCCATGCCGTTTTTGCGCGCTCCATGTCTGGCAGATGACT